GATTGATTGACTTAACCCAGCTTTAAAGTCCTCTATGTCATGGTGTGGATTTTGTTATTTTGGACTTTAGTTTTATTTTGATATCTGTTCTCTGTGCTTTGGTTTTAGTTTGACTTTGACGCCCTGTTTCCCCTGTCTTGATTGTCTGCCCCGCCCTAATGTGTTTCACCTGTGTCTATATGTACCCTGTGCTTCTCTCCCCTTGTTGCTGCTGCATTGTCTTGTCTAGTTTTGTCCTGGTCACTTTGGATTTTTGGAGTTGTTCTTTGCCTTTGTTTTATTAAAAGCTTTATTTTGGCATTCCTGCGTTTTGAGTCTTCCTCATTTTCACCCCGTGACAGAATGAACCAGCCAACACAAGGACTCAGCGGAATGCGTTTTCTTTTTTTCACCACACCTGCTCCCAGCTCATCTCCAATCACCAGGTTTTAACTTATTTTTCGCCTTCACTTCACTGCCTACCTCGACCCGTTACCTACAACCACCGCCAGACAAGAAACTCCGTCTGGGGTGGTCACCTGTCCTGCACCACCGCCGGGCATACGTCTCCGCCCGGGGTGAGCCAGTTTCCCTACGGAAGGTCATCACTGGGCTCCAGCTTCGGTCCCTGATTGATTTGGACACTGCTTCGGACCTCAAGTTTAAAGTCACGTACCTCAGCTTTAAAGTCCTGTACTCCAGCTTTAAAGTCACATACCCCAGCTTTAATGTCACGTACCTCAGCTTTAAAGTAACGTTACCCAAGCTTTAAAGTTACATACCCCAGCTTTAAAGTCACATACCCCAGCTTTAATGTCACATACCCCAAGCTTTAAAGTAACATACCCCAGCTTTAAAGTCAAGTACCCCAGCTTTAAAGTCACATACCCCAGCTTTAAAATCACATACCCCAGCTTTAAAATCACATACCCCAGCTTTAAAGTCACAGACCCCAGCTTTAAAGTCCTGTACTCCAGCTTTAAAGTCACGTACCCCAGCTTTAAAGTCACATACCCCAGCTTTAAAGTCACAGACCCCAGCTTTAAAGTCACGTCCCCCAGCTTTAAAATCACATACCCCAGCTTTAAAATCACATACCCCAGCTTTAAAATCACATACCCCAGCTTTAAAGTCACAGACCCCAGCTTTAAAGTCACATACCCCAGCTTTAAAGTCACATACCCCAGCTTTAAAGTCACATACCCCAGCTTTAAAGTCACAGACCCCAGCTTTAAAGTCACGTCCCCCAGCTTTAAAGTCACATACCCCAGCTTTAAAGTCACGTCCCCCAGCTTTAAAGTCACGTACCCCAGCTTTAAAGTCACGTCCCCCAGCTTTAAAGTCACATACCCCAGCTTTAAAGTCACATACCCCAGCTTTAAAGTCACGTACCCCAGCTTTAAAGTCACATACCCCAGCTTTAAAGTCACGTACCCCAGCTTTAAAATCACATACCCCAGCTTTAAAATCACATACCCCAGCTTTAAAGTCACAGACCCCAGCTTTAAAGTCACATACCCCAGCTTTAAAATCACGTACCCCAGCTTTAAAGTCACAGACCCCAGCTTTAAAGTCACAGACCCCAGCTTCAAAGTCACATACCCCAGCTTTAAAGTCACGTACCCCAGCTTTAAAGTCACATACCCCAGCTTTAAAGTCACGTACCCCAGCTTTAAAGTCACATACCCCAGCTTTAAAGTCACATACCCAAGCTTTAAAGTCACGTCCCCCAGCTTTAAAATCACATACCCCAGCTTTAAAGTCACAGACCCCAGCTTTAAAGTCACATACCCCAGCTTTAAAGTCACGTCCCCCAGCTTTAAAATCACATACACCAGCTTTAAAGTCACGTCTCCCAGCTTTAAAATCATATACCCCAGCTTTAAAGTCACAGACCCCAGCTTTAAAGTCACATACCCCAGCTTTAAAGTCACATACCCCAGCTTTAAAGTCACATAGCCAAGCTTTAAAGTCACATACCCCAGCTTTAAAGTCACGTCCCCCAGCTTTAAAATCACATACCCCAGCTTTAAAGTCACAGACCCCAGCTTTAAAGTCACATACTCCAGCTTTAAAGTCACAGACCCCAGCTTTAAAGTCACATACCACAGCTTTAAAGTCACATACCCCAGCTTTAAAGTCACATACCCAGCTTTAAAGTCACATACCCCAGCTTTAAAGTCATATACATGGATCTATAATAATAACTGGATAGGGTATTACAGCTTGTAGCTGAATAACTCATGTGCTCAGGGGATTCTCGCGGTACTGCAGACTGAACCAGACTAAGTTCACGTGGGCTACCCAGACATTTTCCCCATAGAACTCAATGTAAACTAAAACAGCACGACCTCAGCTGACAGAGAACCTGACAGAGAACCTACAGCTTTCATAAAGGTCAGATTTTGTGGGGATTTTAGTGTCCCTTCTCATCCTGAACTTTTTTTCTTCTTAAATCCTTCGGTTTTGTTTAAATCCACACTTTAGTGCCACAAACTCTGCTCCTCTGGCTCTCGCTCTAACTCCCGCTCTGATGAACTGCTCTGATTGGTCGGAGCGCGGCCGAGCCCCTCTGTGCACGTGCGTGAGACCCGGTGTGAGACCCACACACGCGTGTTTGGCGCAATGCATTATGGGAGTTCATCCACTGCACAAAACCGGGAGGACCAGACGATGCCCAAATACAGGCGAGTTTCCCATAGATCTTTGAGAGTTTCCCAGAGATCTTTGAGAGTTTCCCAGAGATCTTTGAGAGTTTCAGGCGACTTCCGGTAATCTTTCAGCCCCCATGCCGTCACAAAGCGCCACTGAGCACAACCATTCATTTGAATAGGGCGCCATCTTGGATCGCCGGGGCTTGGTCACGTACCCCAGCTTTAAAGTCACATACCCCAGCTTTAAAGTCACATACCCCAGCTTTAAAGTCACGTACCCAGTTTTAAAGTCACATACCCCAGCTTTAAAGTCACATACCCCAGCTTTAAAGTCACGTACCCGAGCTTTAAAGGGACTGACCTTCTCTGAGGTGCAGGTTCCTGAAGGCGGGGGACTCGGGCACCACTTCTTTGATGAAGATGCCGTCCCGCCCCCCCCCTCCGTACACCAGCCCCTCGGCCCCCCCGTCCCGGGCCAGCTGCACCAGCACCGCAGACTCAGGGCTGGACTTCTCCTACACCAGCAAGGGAAAGGTTAGCATGTTGTTTAGACCCGAGTCAGCTTTCACACGGACCAGAACGTGTCAAAGTAGAGGGACCAGAGAGAGAGCAGAGAAAGACCAGAGAGAGAGCTGAGAGAGATCAGAGAGACCAGTGACAGAGCAGAGAGAGAGACCAGACCAGCAAGTGATTAGAGATAGAGACTTGAGATAGAGCTAGACCAGAGAGACTAGAGAGTGTACTTTCTCCTGTTGGGTTGACACCTGGTACTTCCTGGTACTTACCTTGAGCTTGCTCATCTTGGGAGTGGAGCGTTTGTCAAAGATGGCGCCTAGCCCGGATCTCTTGGACTTCTTTCCTTTTGGAAACGAGTCATGATCTGCCTCAAACTGAAAAACAGTCCTCGGATTAAGGAGAGAGACCAGAGAGAGACCAGAGAGAGACCAGAGAGAGACCAGAGAGAGACCAGAGAGAGACCAGAGAGAGACCAGAGAGAGAGACCAGAGAGACCAGAAAGAGACCAGAGAGAGACCAGAGAGAGACCAGAGAGAGACCAGAGAGAGACCACCAGAGAGACCAGAGAGACACCAGAGAGAGAGACCAGAGAGACCAGAGAGAGACCAGAGAGAGACCAGAGAGAGACCAGAGTGAGAGACCAGAGAGACCAGAGAGAGACCAGAGAGAGACCAGAGAGAGACCAGAGAGAGACCAGAGTGAGAGACCAGAGAGACCAGAGAGAGACCAGAGAGAGACCAGAGAGGGACCAGAGAGGGACCAGAGAGAGACAGCGACAGAGACCAGAGAGAGACCAGAGAGGGACCAGAGAGGGACCAGAGAGGGACCAGAGAGAGACAGCGACAGAGACCAGAGAGAGACCAGAGAGAGACCAGAGTGAGAGACCAGAGAGACCAGAGAGAGACCAGAGAGAGACCAGAGAGGGACCAGAGAGGGACCAGAGAGAGACAGCGACAGAGACCAGAGAGAGACCAGAGAGAGACCAGAGAGGGACCAGAGAGGGACCAGAGAGAGACAGCGACAGAGACCAGAGAGAGACCAGAGAGAGACCAGAGTGAGAGACCAGAGAGACCAGAAAGAGACCAGAGAGAGACCAGAGAGAGACCAGAGAGGGACCAGAGAGGGACCAGAGAGAGACCAGCAACAGAGACCAGAGTGCATCTCTGTGTCTGATTTGTTCACATGGTACTTTTAGACTCTTTCTGTTCTGACGACATTTTATGTATGATGTCTGAGGCGAAAGTCAGGTTCCTCAGCTTTAAATGGTGTTTGTGCGGCTGGTAGTGGGCGGGGCTCACCTCTTTGTCGCTGTCGTAAATATGGTCTTCTGGAAACTCGTCGACCGGAGATGAACCCTGTGGGCGTGGCCTCTCCCCCTCTGTGAACTGAGACGAGTCCTCACATGTCTGTAACAACAATTACAGATGACCAGAGGGAGACCAGAGGGAGGCCAGAGAGAGACCAGAGAGAGACCAGAGGGAGACCAGAGAGAGACCAGAGGGAGGCCAGAGGGAGACCAGAGGGAGGCCAGAGGGAGACCAGAGAGAGACCAGAGAGAGACCAGAGGGAGACCAGAGAGAGACCAGAGGGAGGCCAGAGGGAGACCAGAGGGAGGCCAGAGGGAGACCAGAGGGAGGCCAGAGGGAGACCAGAGGGAGGCCAGAGGGAGGCCAGAGGGAGACCAGAGGGAGGCCAGAGGGAGGCCAGAGGGAGGCCAGAGGGAGACCAGAGGGAGGCCAGAGGGAGGCCAGAGGGAGGCCAGAGGGAGGCCATAGGGAGGCCAGAGGGAGACCAGAGGGAGGCCAGAGGGAGACCAGAGGGAGACCATAGGGAGACCAGAGAGAGACCAGAGAGAGGCCAGAGGGAGACCAGAGGGAGACCAGAGAGAGACCAGAGAGAGACCAGAGGGAGACCAGAGAGAGACCAGAGAGAGACACCAGAGAGAGACCAGAGAGAGACCAGAGGGAGACCAGAGGGAGACCAGCGAGAGACCAGAGAGAGACACCAGAGAGAGACCAGAGAGAGACCAGAGGGAGACCAGAGAGAGACCAGAGGGAGACCAGCGAGAGAGACCAGACAGAGACCAGAGAGAGACCAGAGAGAGACCAGAGAGAGACCAGGTCTTTGCTGGATCTGTTTCTGTGACAAATTGTGTTTATTAAACCGCTGCAGGTCAGAGCTAAATGAACCTCACCGAGTCGTCGTGTGTCCCCGGCTCCGGAGCCCTGAGACGGCGCCCTCCTGTGGCACACAAGCACATTACAGCTCAGTAATGAACACAGATGGACTATGCTAACCTGCTAGCTCAATGAAGCCCAATAGGGAAGTGCTCATGGGGAAGTTTGGCTCCTCTTTCTGGCTCTTATTGACTTCCATGTAAAATTAAACCCATCAGTAACGTTTATGTGACATCCTGTGTTTAAATGTGATGTCTGAGGCTGTAGACCCAGGACTGAGGCTGTAGACCCAGGACTGAGGCTGTAGACCCAGGACTGAGGCTGTAGACCCAGGACTGAGACTGTAGACCCAGGACTGAGGCTGTAGACCCAGGACTGAGGCTTAGACCCAGGACTGAGACTGTAGACCCAGGACTGAGGCTGTAGACCCAGGACTGAGGCTTAGACCCAGGACTGAGACTGTAGACCCAGGACTGAGGCTGTAGACCCAGGACTGAGGCTGTAGACCCAGGACTGAGGCTGTAGACCCAGGACTGAGGCTGCAGACCCAGGACTGAGGCTGTAGACCCAGGACTGAGGCTGTTAGACCCAGGACTGAGGCTGTAGACCCAGGACTGAGGCTGTAGACCCAGGACTGAGACTGTAGACCCAGGACTGAGGCTGCAGACCCAGGACTGAGGCTGTAGACCCAGGACTGAGGCTGTAGACCCAGGACTGAGGCTGTAGACCCAGGACTGAGGCTGTAGACCCAGGACTGAGGCTGTAGACCCAGGACTGAGGCTGTAGACCTAGGACTGAGGCTGTAGACCCAGGACTGAGGCTGTAGACCAGGACTGAGGCCATTTGAAACAGAAACAGAAATGTGTTTTTTTCAGAAAACTCTGAAGGATAAAGAGCTGGAGCTGATTCTGCTGAAAAACCAAAAGCTGGAAAACTTGTGCCGCGCTCTGCAGCAGGAGAGGAAAGGTCTGAAGGAGGAGGACCAGCAGAACCAGAAGAGCACCCCCATGGTACCAACCAAACTGCATACAGAGGGACAATCCTACCGCTAGCTCAAGGCTAACCCGCTAGCTCAGAAGGTCTATTAGAAAAGTGAGAGACTGGACCAGTGAGAGAGACCAGAGAGAGAGACCAGAGAGAGAGACCAGAGAGAGACCAGAGAGAGAGACCAGAGAGAGAGACCAGAGAGAGACCAGAGAGAGAGCAGAGAGAGAGTCCAGAGAGAGAGTCCAGAGAGAGAGACCAGAGAGAGAGACCAGAGAGAGACCAGAGCAAGAGACCAGAGAGAGAGACCAGAGAGAGAGACCAGAGAGAGAGACCAGAGAGAGAGACCAGAGAGAGAGACCAGAGAGAGAGACCAGAGCAAGAGACCAGAGACCAGAGAGAGAGACCAGAGAGAGAGACCAGAGAGAGAGACCAGAGAGAGACCAGAGAGAGAGCAGAGAGAGAGTCCAGAGAGAGAGTCCAGAGAGAGAGACCAGAGAGAGAGACCAGAGAGAGAGACCAGAGCAAGAGACCAGAGAGAGAGACCAGAGAGAGAGACCAGAGAGAGAGACCAGAGAGAGAGACCAGAGAGAGAGTCCAGAAAGAGAGACCAGAGAGAGAGACCAGAGAGAGACCAGAGCAAGAGACCAGAGAGACCAGAGAGAGAGACCAGAGAGAGAGACCAGAGAGAGACCAGAGAGAGAGACCAGAGAGAGACCAGAGAGAGACCAGAGAGAGACCAGAGAGAGAGACCAGAGAGAGAGACCAGAGAGAGACCAGAGAGAGAGACCAGAGAGAGACCAGAGAGAGACCAGAGAGAGACCAGAGCGAGACCAGAGAGAGATCAGAGAGAGAGACCAGAGAGAGATCAGAGAGAGCGACCAGAGAGAGACCAGAGAGAGAGACCAGAGAGACAGACCAGAGAGAGACCAGAGAGAGAGAGACCAGAGAGAGACAAGAGAGAGAGACCAGAGAGAGAGACCAGAGAGAGAGACCAGAGAGAGAGACCAGAGAGAGAGACCAGAGAGAGAGACCAGAGAGAGAGACCAGAGAGAGAGTCCAGAAAGAGAGACCAGAGAGAGAGACCAGAGAGAGACCAGAGAGACCAGAGAGAGACCAGTGAGAGACCAGAGAGACCAGAGAGACCAGAGAGAGACCAGAGAGAGAGACCAGAGAGAGACCAGAGAGAGACCAGAGAGAGACCAGAGAGAGAGACCAGAGAGAGAGACCAGAGAGAGACCAGAGAGAGAGACCAGAGAGAGACCAGAGAGAGACCAGAGAGAGACCAGAGCGAGACCAGAGAGAGATCAGAGAGAGAGACCAGAGAGACCAGAGAGAGACCAGAGAGAGACCAGAGAGAGAGACCAGAGAGAGAGACCAGAGAGAGACCAGAGAGAGACCAGAGAGAGTCCAGAGAGAGAGACCAGAGAGAGACCAGAGAGAGTGTACAGCATTACAATTACACAAGCAAACAAAATGAGTTTTATCATCCAGACTTTTCTCTCAATTAAAAATGAAATAATTTTACCATTTACCGTCCCTTCCGCAGGCCTCCCCCGCTGAGGCCACACCCACAGAAACCTCCCCCGCTGAGGCCACTCCCACAGAGACCTCCCCCGCTGAGGCCACTCCCACAGAGACCTCCCCCGCTGAGGCCACACCCACAGAAGAGCAAGAAGCTGGGGTCAAAGTGTCTCTGCAAGTCCAGTCCTCTGCAAAAGCCTCGGCCACAACTGAAGTCTTGCCTCCCCCTCAGTCCTCACCCCAACCTCCCCCCAGACCAGCCTCCCCCAAGCCGTCTGAAGCTCCTGTCGTGCCACTGAGCAAGACACCTTCTGCTCAGCCATTGCCCCAACAAGCCACGCTAGAAGCTATCAGAGCCCCCGCCCAAGGAACCTCTGAGGCGGCAGTCCAAGCGTCTTCCAAACCACTGGACCGCAAGTCTCCCTCCCCCTCCCCCAACCTCCCCCAGAGGGAGTCACTGAAGGCCCAGGAGCTGAACACCCTCAAGGCCCAGCACCAGCGTCTGCAGGAAATCGCCTGCTCTTTCACCATCTCCCACGCCGTCCCAGACCAGGTGTGGCGCCAGATTGGTGTGGAGATGGAACCTCAGGAGGAACCGGGGGAGGAGGACCAGAGCGAGGCCCTGGACGAGGAGCAGAGGAGCAGGAAGGAGGAGCTGGAGTCGGTGGACTGAAACGCTACTCAACACTTTGTATCAAATAAAGACGAAAAACCAATCTGTGTCGCTGATTTCACACATGACTCAGTTCCGTCAGGAGGAGTGGGCCAGAATTCTATGAATTTACTGTCAAAAATGTATGGAGTGAGAGAGAGATAGAGTCCCACAGTGGGGAAATTTCAATGTTGCAGCGCACAGACAGGACAGTGGTGAGAGACACAGGGAGCACACAAAATATACAAAAGTATAGTAGCTGCTATGTTTCAATACTAAACATGAAGAAAAAAAAAAAAAAAATATATATATATATATATATATATCAGTATATAAACAGTACAGTGGGGCAAAAAAGTATTTAGTCAGCCACCGACTGTGCAAGTTCTCCCACTTAAAATAAAGACAGAGGTCTGTAATGTTCATCATAGGTTCACTTCAACTGTGAGAGACAGAATGTGAAAAATTTTGTAGGATTTTTAAAGAATTTATTTGTAAATTATGGTGGAAAATAAGTATTTGGTCAATAACACAAATTCAACTCAATACTTTGTAAAATAACCTTTGTTGGCAATAACAGGTCAAACGATTACTATAGGTCTTTACCAGGTTTGCACACACAGTAGCTGGTATTTTGGCCCATTCCTCCATGCAGATCTTCTCGAGAGCAGTGAACACGGACTTTCAACTCCCTCCACAGATGTTCAATGGGGTTGAGGTCTGGAGACTGGCGAGGCCACTCCAGGACTTTCAAATGCTTCTTACGGAGCCACTCCTTCGTTGCCCGGGCGGTGTGTTTGGGATCATTGTCATGCTGGAAGACCCAGCCACATTTCATCTTCAAAGCTCTCACTGATGGAAGGAGGTTTTGGCTCAAAATCTCACGATACATGGCCCCAATCATTCGTTCCTTAACACGGATCAGTCGTCCTGTCCCCTTAGCAGAAAAACAGCCCCAAAGCATGACGTTTCCACCCCCATGCTTCACAGTAGGTATGGTGTTCTTAGGATGCAACTCTTCCTCCAAACACGACGAGTCGAGTTTATACCAAACAGTTCTATTTTGGTTTCATCTGACCACATGACATTCTCCCAATCCTCTGCTGTATCATCCATGTGCTCTCTGGCAAACTTCAGACGGGCCTGGACATGCACTGGCTTCAGCAGGGGGACACGTCTGGCACTGCAGGATTTGATTCCCTGTCGTCGTAGTGTGTTACTGATGGTAACCTTTGTTACTTTGGTCCCAGCTCTCTGCAGGTCATTCACCAGGTCCCCCCGTGTGGTTCTGGGATATTTGATCACCGTTCTCATGATCATTTTGACCCCACGGGATGAGATCTTGTGTGGAGCCCCAGATCGAGGGAGATTATCAGTAGTCTTGTTTGTTTTCCATTTTCTGGTAATTGCTCCCACAGTTGATTTGTTCACACCAAGCTGCTTGCCTATTGTAGATTCACTCTTCCCAGTCTGGTGCAGGTCTACAATTCTTTTCCTGGTGTCCTTCGACAGCTCTTTGGTCTTGGCCATAGTGGAGTTTGGAGTCTGACTGTTTGAGGCTGTGGACAGGTGTCTTTTATACAGATGAGTTCAAACAGGTGCCATTAACACAGGTAACAAGTGGAGGACAGAAGAGCTTCTTAAAGAAGAAGTTACAGGTCTGTGAGAGCCACAGATCTTCCTTGTTTGAAGTGACCAAATACTTATTTTCCAACATAATTTACAAATAAATTCTTTAAAAATCCTACAATGTGAATTCCTGTTTTTTGTTTTCACATTCTGTCTCTCACAGTTGAAGTGAACCTATGATGAACATCACAGACCTTTGTCTTTATTTTAAGTGGGAGAACAATCGTTGGCTGACTAAATACTTTTTTATCCCACTGTATATATATATATATATATATATATATTTTAGGGCTGTCAAAATGATCGCGTTGACGCACGTTAATTAATTGTTTTCATTAATCGCGTTAAAAAAATTAACGCATTTGACGCATGCCCATGCGTCCCATAATAACACTCAGAATGCCGCGGACACATGCGTGTGTAAGACGGGGACAGAGCAGGAAGGCCCTCTGGGAATTCAAGTTTTGAAAGAATACACGCGTGACCGCGGGGCACTTGTTGTTTCCTGTATGAGCTCTGCATGATGAGCTGCGGGCGCCACAGCGCTCTGGACAGCAGGTCTTCCAGCGGCTGTGATCACGGCGAACGGCGCTGCGTAATGGGATCATATCCAAGAAGACCACGCACAGAACTATTCTCTAGTGTGCGTACAATGTCCCTCATCTGTAACAAACAATGGTTTTGGTCTAAATAGAAAGACAGAAATAATGTTAATTCCCTTTTATATGGATTTATTGTTATAACAAACAAATACAGTACATATGTTCACTAAGCTGTCAATTATCTTTCCATTCAAACAACCATTTACAGAAAAATATGGCATAATTTTGCCAATAGTTTGAAATGCGATTAATTACGATTAATTAATTTTTAAGCTGTAATTAACTCGATTAAAATTTTTTTTTGTTTGACAGCCCTAATATATATATATATATATATAGAGAGAGAGAGAGCAGGAGTTATATACTGTACATATAGGAGGAGAGAGGAGAGAGAGAAGAGATTCATAGGGTTGTATACTGTGTACTCTGCTCTCCTTCTGGTCTCCTTCTGGTCTCCCTCTGGTCTCCTTCTGGTCTCCTTCTGGTCTCCCTCTGGTCTCCTTCTGGTCTCATGCAGATGTTGTCCTCACATGACACATATGTGCAGATCTGGGTCATGTGAGGACACTAGGCTCCGCCCCCATCACCTTTGCACTTTGGCACAAACAATGGTCTCTGGTATTTGGTCTCTCTCTGGTCTTCCTCTGGTCTCTCTCTGGTCCCTCCCTGGTCCCTCCCTGGTCTTTCTCTACTGTAGGGTCTTTGATCTCTCTCTAGTTTCTGGTTTCGCTCTGGTCTCTTTTTGCTCTCTCTCTGGTCTCTCTCTGATCTCTGGTCTCTCTCTGGTCTCCTCTGGTCTCCTCTGGTCTCCTCTGGTCTCCCTCTGGTCTCAGAATGAGCTGTGAAGAAGTATGTGGAGCTCTGAATTTGTTTGTTCAAAGTGGATCCAGTCTGCTACAGCTGGGACAGAGCCAGAGCCAAGAGGGTGTGTATCTCTGTGTGTGTCTGTGTGTGTGTCTGTGTGTATGTGTGTGTATCTCTGTGTGTGTGTGTGTCTGTGTGTGTGTGTGTCTGTGTGTATGTGTGTGTGTCTCTGTGTGTGTGTGTGTGTCTGTGTGTGTGTGTGTCTCTGTGTGTGTCTGTGTGTGTGCGTGTGTGTGTGTGTGTGTGTGTCTGTGTGTATCTCTGTGTATGTGTGTGTGTGTATCTCTGTGTGTGTCTGTGTCTGTATCTCTGGTCTCTCTCTCTGGTCGCTCTCTCTGGTCTCTCTCTGGTCTCTCTCTGGTCTCCCTGTGGTCTCTCTCTGGTCTCTCTCTGGTCTCTCTCTGGTCTCTCTCTGGTCTCTCTCTGGTCTCTCTCTGGTCTCTCTCTGGTCTCTCTCTGGTCTCTCTCTCTCTCTGGTCTCTCTCTGGTCTCTCTGTGGTCTCTCTCTGGTCTCTCTCTCTCTGGTCTCTCTCTGGTCTCTCTCTGGTCTCTCTCTGGTCTCCCTGTGGTCTCTCTGTGGTCTCTCTCTGGTCTCTCTCTGGTCTCTCTCTGGTCTCTCTCTGGTCTCTCTCTGGTCTCTCTCTGGTCTCTCTCTGGTCTCTCTCTGGTCTCTCTCTGGTCTCTCTCTGGTCTCTCTCTCTGGTCTCTCTCTGGTCTCTCTCTGGTCTCTCTCTCATGGTCAGGTTCCTATGGTGAGAGTGACGCAGGCCCAAACAGCACGGTGCATGTAAAGTCTGCTGTGCTTCAGGTTCTCTGCAGGACTTCCTCAGGACCAGCAGAGACCAGGACCAGTCTCTGCTGGGTCTCTCCCACGCCGCGGCTCAGCTCTACACCAGGTGCTATAACTACTCTTCTCTACTCTACTCTGAAGGAGGTGAATGAGGAGGTGCTGGAGGAGAGCCACGTCTGTCCAGGACCAAACATCCAAACTCCAGAACTACATCATAGAGAAGGAGGTGAATGAGGAGGTGCTGGAGGAGAGCCACTGTCCAGGACCAAACATCCAAACTCCATAACTACATCATAGAGAAGGAGGTGAATGAGGAGGTGCTGGAGGAGAGCCACTGTCCAGGACAAAATATTTAGTGGTAGTGGAAACCGGAGTACCCGGAGGAAACCTACACAGACACGGGGAGAACATGCAAACTCACGCAAAGAAAGGCCCTGTTCCGATCGGGATTGGAACCCAGGACCTTCTTGTTGAGAGGCGAGAGTGCTAACCACTCAGCCACTGTGCCGCCCGTACAGCACCTCTCCTACTGTAGTCATTAAAGTCACAGACCCCAGCTTTAAAGTGATTTAGAGTATTATGTGCAAGTGATGAAAGTGACACTATTCCTGATACTAAGTCAGAAACAATCTAAGGCCTGTTTAAGTACGTCATGTTTATTCATTTAGCGCCGATCAGAGAGGGGAGGGGCCAGTACAGGAGACACAGACCTATGGTACATGTTTTTAGTGGTAGGGGAAACCGGAGCACCCGGAGGAAACCTACTCAGACGCAAACTCCACTCAGAAAGACCCTGTTCCGACCAGGATTCAAACCCAGGACCTTCTTGCTAACCACTCAGCCACCGTGCCGACAAAGTTACAGATAAATGAGCCATAACTGAACTAAAACTCCTGTTTTGTAAAAGAGGAAGCTCCTTTCTGGTCATGGGAAGGTTTGAATGGTTTGAAACTTGTATAACTGCATTTTCATGAGAAAATACCATAAAACCTCTAACTTTAGCAAAACAAAGAAGCATAAAGTAGTGAGCCATAAGAAAGACTTTATTGAAATGTGAAACAGAAGTGTGAAAATATAGTATATTATTGAATAAGTCTCTCTCTGGAGCAGACTGGACTCTCTTTGGATCAGACTGGACTCTCTTTGGATCAGACTGGACTCTCTCTGGAGCAGACTGGACTCTCTCTGGATCAGACTGGACTCTCTGGAGCAGACTGGACTCTCTCTGGATCAGACTGGACTCTCTCTGGATCAGACTGGACTCTCTGGAGCAGACTGGACTCTCTCTGGATCAGACTGGACTCTCTCTGGATCAGACTGGACTCTCTGGAGCAGACTGGACTCTCTCTGGATCAGACTGGACTCTCTCTGGAACAGACTGGACTCTCTCTGGAGCAGACTGGACTCTCTCTGGATCAGACTGGACTCTCTCTGGATCAGACTGGACTCTCTCTGGATCAGACGGGACTCTCTCTGGATCAGACTGGACTCTCTGGAGCAGACTGGACTCTCTCTGGATCAGACTGGACTCTCTGGAGCAGACTGGACTCTCTCTGGATCAGACTGGACTCTCTCTGGATCAGACTGGACTCTCTGGAGCAGACTGGACTCTCTCTGGATCAGACTGGACTCTCTCTGGATCAGACTGGACTCTCTGGATCAGACTGGACTCTCTGGATCAGACTGGACTCTTTCTGGATCAGACTGGACTCTCTGGATCAGACTGGATCAGACTGGACTCTCTGAGACAAGAGAGGGACCAGAGAGGGACCAGAGAGACCAGAAAGACCAGAGAGAGACTAGACAGATGTCCTTGAGAGGTCTCAGTTCTGGACCCGGAGTAGGATCTTGCCCAGGTTCTGGTTCTGTTCCATCCTCCTGTGAGCCTCACAGGCCTGCTCCAGACTGAACTCAGAGTCCACCACAGCTCTGAGCTTAGAGCTGAAGAGAGGCAGGACTTTGGAGAAGGACCGGACCAGGGACGCCTTGTACTGAGGACAGAGGAGGACAGGGAGGACAGAGGAGAGGGGACAGAGGAGAGGACAGAGGAGAGGACAGAGGAGAGAGGACAGAGGAGAGAGGACAGAGGAGAGGACAGAGGAGAGAGGACAGAGGAGAGAGGACAGAGGAGAGGACAGAGGAGAGGACAGAGGACAGAGGACAGAGGAGAGGACAGAGGAGAGAGGACAGAGCAGAGAGGACAGAGGAGAGGACAGAGGAGAGGACAGAGGAGAGAGGACAGAGGAGAGAGGACAGAGGAGAGGACAGAGGAGAGAGGACAGAGGAGAGAGGACAGAGGAGAGGACAGAGGAGAGGACAGAGGAGAGGACAGAGGAGAGAGGAGAGGACAGAGGAGAGAGGACAGAGGAGAGAGGACAGAGGAGAAAGGACAGAGGAGAGGACAGAGGAGAGGGGACAGAGGAGAGAGGACAGAGGAGAGGGGACAGAGGAGAGAGGACAGAGGAGAGGACAGAGGAGAGGACAGAGGAGAGAGGACAGAGGAGAGAGAACAGAGGAGAAAGGATAGAGGAGAGGACAGAGGGGAGAGGACAGAGGAGAGGGGACAGAGGAGAAAGGACAGAGGAGAGGACAGAGGAGAGAGGACAGAGGAGAGGACAGAGGAGAGAGGACAGAGGAGAGGGGACAGAGGAGAGAGGACAGAGGAGAGGGGACAGAGGAGAGGACAGAGGAGAGAGGAGAGGGACAGAGGAGAGAGGAGAGAGGACAGAGGAGAGAGGAGAGGACAGAGGAGAAAGGACAGAGAAGAGGACAGAGGAGAGGACAGAGGAGAGAGGACAGAGGAGAGGACAGAGGAGAGAGGACAGAGGAGAGAGGACAGAGGAGAGGACAGAGGAGAGAGGAACAGAGGAGAGAGGACAGAGGAGAGGACAGAGGAGAGGACAGAGGAGAGGACAGAGGAGAGAGGAGAGGACAGAGGAGAGAGGACAGAGGAGAGGGGACAGAGGAGAGAGGAGAGGACAGAGGAGAGAGGACAGAGGAGAAAGGACAGAGGAGAGGACAGAGGAGAGGGACAGAGGAGAGAGGACAGAGGAGAGGACAGAGGAGAGGGGACAGAGGAGAGAGGACAGAGGAGAGAGGAGAGGACAGAGGAGAGAGGACAGAGGAGAAAGGACAGAGGAGAGGACAGAGGAGAGGGGACAGAGGAGAGAGGACAGAGGAGAGGGGACAGAGGAGAGAGGACAGAGGAGAGGACAGAGGAGAGAGGACAGAGGAGAGAGAACAGAGGAGAAAGGATAGAGGAGAGGACAGAGGGGAGAGGACAGAGGAGAGGGGACAGAGGAGAAAGGACAGAGGAGAGGACAGAGGAGAGAGGACAGAGGAGAGGACAGAGGAGAGAGGACAGAGGAGAGGGGACAGAGGAGAGGACAGAGTAGAGAGGAGAGGACAGAGGAGAGAGGACAGAGGAGAGAGGACAGAGGAGAGGGGACAGAGGAGAGGACAGAGTAGAGAGGAGAGGACAGAGGAGAGAGGACAGAGAAGAGAGGACAGAGGAGAGAGGAGAGGACAGAGGAGAAAGGACAGAGAAGAGGACAGAGGAGAGGACAGAGGAGAGAGGACAGAGGAGAGGACAGAGGAGAGAGGACAGAGGAGAGGGGACAGAAGAGAGGAGAGAGGAGAGGACAGAGGAGAGAGGACAGAGGAGAGGACAGAGGAGAGAGGACAGAGGAGAGGGGACAGAGGAGAGGACAGAGGAGAGAGGACAGAGGAGAGGGGACAGAGGAGAGGAGAGGACAGAGGAGAGAGGACAGAGGAGAGGACAGAGGAGAGGACAGAGGAGAGAGGACAGAGGAGAGGACAGAGGAGAGGGGACAGAGGAGAAAGGACAGAGGAAAGGACAGAGGAGAGAGGACAGAGGAGAGGGGACAGAGGAGAAAGGACAGAGGAAAGGACAGAGGAGAGAGGACAGAGGAGAGGGGACAGAGGAGAGGACAGAGGAGAGAGGACAGAGGAGAGGGGACAGAGGAGAGGAGAGAGGAGAGGACAGAGGAGAGAGGACAGAGGAGAGGACAGAGGAGAGGACAGAGGAGAGAGGACAGAGGAGAGGACAGAGGAGAGGACAGAGGAGAGAGGACAGAGGAGAGAGGACAGAGGAGAGGACAGAGGAGAGGGGACAGAGGAGAGGACAGAGGAGAGGGGACAGAGGAGAGAGAGGACAAGGTTAAAATGTCTTCTTCCTGATGTCTCTTGTCTCCAAGTTTGTCTCGTTCTTCGCCCCTCAGGTCTCTCTCCTGGTCTCAGGTCTCTCCCCTGGTCTCTGTGGTCTCTCTCCTGGTCTCAGGTCTCTGTCCTGGTCTCAGGTCTCTCTCCTGGTCTCAGGTCTCTGTCCTGGTCTCAGGTCTCTCTCCTGGTCTCTGTGATCTCTGTCCTGGTCCCAGGTCTCTCTCCTGGTCTCAGGTCTCTGTCCTGGTCTCAGGTCTCTGTCCCGGTCTCAGGTCTCTGTCCTGGTCTCAGGTCTCTGTCCTGGTCTCAGGTCTCTCTCCTAGTCTCAGGTCTCTGTCCTGGTCTCTTTGGTCTCTGTCCTGGTCTCAGGTCTCTCTCCTGGTCTCAGGTCTCTCTCCTGGTCTCAGGTCTCTCTCCTGGTCTCAGGTCTCTGTCCTGGTCTCTTTGGTCTCTGTCCTGGTCTCAGGTCTCTCTCCTGGTCTCAGGTCTCTCTCCTTGTCTCAGGTCTTCCTCCTGGTCTCTGGTCTCTGTCCTGGTCCCTGCTGTGGTCTCTGTCCTGGTCTCAGGTCTTCCTCCTGGTCTCAGGTCTCTCTCCTGGTCTCAGGTCTCTCTCCTGGTCTCTGAGCGGTGTGAGTGCCAGTGTAGTACCACCTCCAGCCTGTGGGGGCGGAGCATGGAGCTCAGCAGACTCCCTCTCTTGGACAGCAGGCGGCTCAGCACAGGGCCCTGCACTCTGCTGCCCCCTAGTGTCCCGTACAGAACCCAGCGCCCATCCACCGCCAGCGCATCCACGTTCTGTGACCACCAGAGGGCGCCAACACAGTCCAGGATCACATCTGCACCACGCCCTGTGACATCACCAGGTGTTAGAGAGACCAGAGAGAGACCAGAGAGAGACCAGAGAGAGACCAGAGAGAGACTAGAGAGAGACTAGAGAGAGAGACCAGAGAGAGACCAGAGAGAGACTAGAGAGAGAGACCAGAGAGAGACCAGAGAGAGACTAGAGAGAGAGCAGAGGGAGACTAGAGAGAGAGACCAGAGAGAGACCAGAGAGAGACCAGAGAGAGACCAGAGAGAGACCAGAGAGAGACCAGAGAGAGACTAGAGAGAGAGACAAGAGAGAGACCAGAGAGAGACTAGAGAGAGAGACCAGAGAGAGACCAGAGAGAGACTAGAGAGAGAGCAGAGAGAGACTAGAGAGGGAGGACCAGAGAGAGACCAGAGAGAGACCAGAGAGAGAGACCAGAGAGAGACCAGAGAGAGACCAGAGAGAGACCAGAGAGACCAGAGAGAGACCAGAGAGACCAGAGAGAGACCAGAGAGAGACCAGAGAGAGAGACCAGAGAGAGATCAGAGAGAGATCATATTTTTCGTCACAAATATATTTTTTGGGATGAAAACAACACAAAAACTAAAATAGAAGACAGAGACGTAGACGATGACTAAATTGATTGACGTTTTCGTCCACGAATAAAAGACCGTGACAAAATCAGATCAGAAGAACGGAAAGACAAGAGCCAAGGAGAAAACAACCAATGGACTGCCAGAGTGTACGCAGGAGGACCAATGAGGGCTGTCCAGCTGTGAACAGAAGCTGTTGCTAACGCTAACCACAACATCTCTCAGTATTACTATAGCAGATCCATGCTCAGTACTCCCGACTGGGAGAAAAGAGGAGGTCTGTGGGGCCTGTTTCTTTGACATGTCAATATGAAACTCTGTGAAGAGGCATCGCAGAAGAACATGGTTAAAAAACATCCACGTGATTCATTTGCTCTATCGCCATCATGTGGACAAAAAAATATAAAACACTCTTAAGTGCCAACAATAAATGGTGCCTCTGAGACCTACAATGTTTGTACAGTGCCTTGCGAAAGTATTCGGCCCCCTTGAACCTTTCAACATTTCGCCACATTTCAGGCTTCAAACATAAAGATATTAAAAAAAAATGTTTTGTCATGAATCAACAACAAGTGGGACACAATCGTGAAGTGGAACGGAATTTATTGGATAATTTAAACTTTTTTAACAAATAAAAAACTGAAAAGTGGGGCGTGCAATATTATTCGGCCCCCTTGCGCTAATACTTTTTAGCGCCACCTTTTGCTGCAATTACAGCTGCAAGTCGCTTGGGGTATGTCTCTATCAGTTTTGCACATCGAGAGACTGGCATTCTTGCCCATTCTTCCTTGCAAAACAGCTGGAGCTCAGTGAGGCTGGATGGAGAGCGTTTGTGAACAGCAGTCTTCAGCTCTTTCCACAGATTCTCGATTGGATTCAGGTCTGGACTTTGACTTGGCCATTCTAACACCTGGATACGTCTATTTGTGAACCATTATATTGTAGATTTGGCTTTATGTTTTGGATCATTGTCCTGTTGGAAGATAAATCTCCGTCCCAGTCTCAGGTCTTTTGCAGACTCCAACAGGTTTTCTTCCAGAATGGTCCTGTATTTGGCTCCATCCATCTTCCCATCAATTTTAGCCATCTTCCCTGTCCCTGCTGAAGAAAAGCAGGCCCAAAGCATGATGCTGCCACCACCATGTTTGACAGTGGGGATGGTGTGTTCAGGGTGATGAGCTGTGTTGCTTTTACGCCAAACATATCGTTTTGCATTGTGGCCAAAAAGTTCAATTTTGGTTTCATCTGACCAGAGCACCTTCTTCCACATGTTTGGCGTGTCTCCCAGGTGGCTTGTGGCAAACATTAAACGAGAATTTTTATGGATATCTTTGAGAAATGGCTTTCTTCTTGCCACTCTTCCATAAAGGCCAGATTTGTGCAGTGCACGACTGATTGTTGTCCTATGGACAGACTCTCCCACCTCAGCTGTAGTTATCTGCAGTTCATCCAGAGTGATCATGGGCCTCTTGGCTGCATCTCTGATCAGTCTTCTCCTTGTTTGAGATGAAAGTTTGGAGGGACGGCCGGGTCTAGGTAGATTTGCAGTGGTCTGATACTCCTTCCATTTCAATACAATTGCTTGCACAGTGCTCCTTGAGATGTTTAAAGCTTGGGAAATCTTTTTGTATCCAAATCCGGCTTTAAACTTCTCCACAACAGTATCTCGGACCTGCCTGGTGTGTTCCTTTGTCCTCATGGTTCTCTCTGCGCTTTAAACAGAACCCTGAGACTATCAAAGAGCAGGTGCATTTATACGGAGACTTGATTACACACAGGTGCATTCTATTTATCATCATCAGTCATTTAGGACAACATTGGATCATTCAAAGATCCTCACTGAACTTCTGGACTGAGTTTGCTGCACTGAAAGTAAAGGGGCCGAATAATATTGCACGCCCCACTTTTCAGTTTTTTATTTGTTAAAAAAGTTTAAATTATCCAATAAATTTCGTTCCACTTCACGATTGTCTCCCACTTGTTGTTGATTCATGACAAAAAATAACAATTTTATATCTTTATGTTTGAAGTCTGAAATGTGGCGAAATGTTGAAAGGTTCAAGGGGGCCGAATACTTTCGCAAGGCACTGTATATAATATATATATATACATACTATATACTGTATATACTATAGATATACTTTAATGACTTTAATAGCTACTCGTGTCACGTCTGTCATCGTATAATACAAGCGATAATACTGTACGTATTTGTACAAAAATATCCTATTCATACAAACCTCATGAGCAACATGTTTCGGAAAAAAGTATTTCGTCGACTAAAATTGAGCTAAAGTAAATCAAATCAGACTAAAATTGTGACTACAAGTAAAATGAATTTTAGTCAAAAGACTAAGACTGAAACGAAATAAGAGTTTCTTGTCAAAATGAACACTGACAAACACACAGACATACAGACAAACACACGCACACACACACACACACACACACTAACCCTGTATGTGTGCAGGTACCTACAGCTGCTGCTTCATTCAGGAGGATACCGGGGTCCTGATCCACCACTTGGCCTCATCCCACATGTATGTGTGTGTGTCTCCGGAGGTGTCCATCCGCACTGACCCACAGTTCCCCCGCTGCCGCTCACCCCCAGGCCTCCTCGCCCTCACTGTCTACTGTGAGATCCCCAACACCTATGAGGACTTCACTGTCACCTGGGACAAAAAGAACATCAAGACTGCTGTGCAGCCTCAGCAAGAGGAACGTGAGTGTGTGAGTGTGAGTGTGTGTCTGTCTGAGTATGTGTCTGTCTGTGTATGTGTGTGTGGGTGTGTGTCTGTCTGTGTGTGTGTGTGCGTGAGTATGTGTCTGTCTGTGTATGTGTGTGTGGGTGTCTGTGTGTGGGTGTGTGTGTCTATGTTTGTGTGTGTGTGGGTGTGTCTGTGTGTGTGTGTGTGTGTGTGTGTGTGTGTGTGTGTGGGTGTCTATGTTTGTGTGTGTGTGAGTGTGTGTCTGTGTGTGTGTGTGTGTGTGTGTGGGTGTCTATGTTTGTGTGTGTCTGTGTGTGTGTGTGGGTGTCTATGTGTTTGTGTGTGTGTGTGTGTGTGTGTGTGTGGGTGTCTATGTTTGTGTGTGTCTTTGTGTATGTGTGTGTGTGTGTGTGTGGGTGTCTGTGTATGTGTGGGTGTCTATGTTTGTGTGTGTCTTTGTGTGTGTGTGTGTGTGTGTGTGGGTGTCTATGTTTGTGTGTGTCTTTGTGTGTGTGTGTGTGTGGGTGTGTGGGTGTGTGTGTGTGGGTGTCTATGTTTGTGTGTGTCTTTGTCTGTGTCTGTGCGTGGGTGTCTGTGTGTGTGTGTATGTCTATGTTTGTGTGTGTCTGTGCCTGGGTGTCTTATGTTTGTGTGTGTCTGTGTTTGCGTGTGTTTTGCCTACATACTGTATGAGGACTTTTGAATGATAACACACCTTCAATATGGGGACTTGAGGAAATACAGGGACATTTTTCAGGTCCCCATTTTCCCATGCATACTACAGTGTTGTAGAGGCCCAGAACAAGCTCAACACCAAAAATCAAGCATGTACCAAAATGTCTACAAATAGTGAAAATGTGTGTCAGGGCCGAAACACACTGTCCCCAAAAGTTTGATACGCCCCCCTGTGGTTGTGCACGGAACTACATGACACACACACACTTGACCTCATATGTCACATTTTGTCACAAACTTAAATACATTCCCAGAGGTGGGTAGAATGGCCAAAATATTGACTCAAGCTAATTCAAAAACATACTTGAGTAGTGCGTAACTCTTTTTACAGAAAAAAACCTGTGGAGCTTGCATGTTCTCCTTGTGTCAGTAGGTTTTCTCCGGGTACTTTGGTTCCAGATAACACTATAAAAATGTACAAAATGTTCCCTAAAAATATTCTTTACTCCAGAAGAAAATACTTAAGAAAGATTTAAAATATCAAAAACAAAAATAAAATGGAGATGTCAAAATTGACAAACATGTATAAAAATAAATAATTCTAAAATAAAGTCAAAATGTATTTGTCCACCTACAGAGTTACTCTCTGTGAAAGGAATAACTATTTATATTTGACTCAGACCTGAAGTTCTTGTTATACGGTAAGTCAGGGGTCACCAACCTTTTTAAAGCGGAGGGCTACCTTAAGATTCACAAATAGCTTGAGGGCTACCAGCTCAAAACATATATATTTACATATAAATAAACATTACTTACTTACTTATGTATAAACAAGTCAAAAAAATCTTACAATATTCACACAAAAAAGGGTATTTGTATACAATTTGTATTTGTATGTAAATAAATATATTCTTTATCAAAGTCTATTTTGTGTAAATGAACATGTCACAATTTAATTCAACAAAAAACAGAACTCATTATTTTTCCAAATACTTGAGATTGTGTCATCTCCAACCTTTGCTTTAATAAATGAACAATGATCAACTGACCAAGTAACATGGTGTTTTACTAAAACACTGTTCAATGTTCTTTGTCAGTTAATGAGAAACCTGGCATTCCATGTCATCCACTAGTTTGCTGTACTTTTGTGTATAGTTTGGCACTGCCACTCTCAGTGACTCTTCCAGATGTGACTCTTCCAGATTTTGTATAAAGTTCATATTGGAAAAGGCTGATTCACAGAGAAAAGTGGACCCAAAGAGACAAGCAACCTTCATAGCTGCTGTGCAGATAGATCTGTACTTTTCCATGTCTACTAGGTTCCAAAAGTCTGGGCTACTCAGATGTGTTTTAAGGTACAGGTCATTTTGCAGACTTATTATTTCCATTTCTGTACTAAGGTTCTCAGCTGTGCCTGTAATGTCCACTGACATAAAGGGATTTCAAATGAATGACACACATGGCTCAATTTGCTCAAAATCACAAAATCTGTTCTCAAACTCTCTCATCAGTCTGTTAATCACTTGGCAGTATTTTTCTACAGCCCCATCAAAAGCTGCAGATGCAGAAACATTGTCACTGATAACTTTTTGCACAGACACTTTTTCTTTTCAAATGCGAGAAAAGGTTCAGCTTTAAAAGCGTTTAAAACACTTATGTCTTACCTGTGCCTTGCAACTCACAGTTCAAATGTTTCAAGTTTTTCTGTGATGTCTGTTAAAAAGGCAAGGTCAAGCAACCACTCAGTGTTGTCCAAGAGTGAGGTGTCCTCTTCTCTGCTCTGCATAAACTCCTTTATTTCACCCAAAAGTGAAAAAAGAAGCGTTTCAAAATCCACCCTCTGCTGAGCCATTGGATTTCTGTATGCAGCAACAAGTCCCCATATTCTGCGGAAAGCTCCTCCAAAAGCACCTTAAATGTCCTGTGTTGTTTGGCTTTAGCGCGAATGCTATTGATGATTTTGATAACGGGGGTCATTACGTGGTCATAGCGACTGCTGGTGGATGATACAGTGGTAGTGCAGGAAAGATGGAAAGTCTGAGTCATTCTTGCAATGAAGCCCACACGACATCCTACCATTGCACCATCTGTAGTTACTGACACGAGCTTCTCCAGCAAATAAAGCTTTCATTGCGTTGTAGATGTCCACTCCTCACGTAGTTGTCCTCAGTGGGATGAGCGTGAGGAGCTCTTCTTTAGCGGAGAAATCGTCAAATACCATCCGAATAAACACCATTGATTGAGCTGTGCTGCTGCTGTCCACAGACCCGTCACATTGGATGCTGAACCACTGGCATGTACTTACAGTGAGTCCTTATCCAGCTGTTCATACATAGCGGACACTCTTCTGGTCACAGTACTAGCACCAAGTTGTACTTCAGCTAGACTTGAGATAATCTCAGATCCATCTTTATCGTCTTTAAAAACAGTCTCTGCGATTATCATCAGAGCACCCTTAACAATCTGTCCATCAAACAATCTGTCTTCTTGTTTTCAATCAAATAATGCGTAGCTCTGAATGAAGCTTCGGTTGCCTTTTGGGCCTTCTTCAGTGGTCTTGTGAAAAAGCTTTGCTGCTTGGTTAAAGCGGCAAAGCTTTAACTCACGCACTTTCTCCGCCCGAAGCGCAGTCTTGGGGGGAAAGTTTTGGTGGAAGCTACCGTGAGTGGTTTGATAGTGACGCTCCACAAATAAGGCACACGCACTTATCTCGTATCGATATAAAAAAGAACTCCTCTTCCCAGTCTTGGTTAAAAACAGGTCTTTTTTCTCTTCTCAGCCATGGTTTTTAGCGCGGTAGGATCATTGATGAGTTAACATTAGCTAGCAAAATCAGAATTAATTGTCATGCGCAGGTGACTGATGAACTATGACCTAAATGTAACTATGCATTTATATATATATATAAATATATATTTATATACAGTGCCTTGCGAAAGTATTTGGCCCCCTTGAACCTTTCAACATGTCGCCACATTTCAGGCTTCAAACATAAAGATAAAAAAAAAATTTTTGTCAAGAATCAACAACAAGTGGGACACAATCGTGAAGTGGAACGAAATTTATTGGATAATTTAAACTTTTTAAACAAATAATAAACTGAAAAGTGGGGCGTGCAATATTATTCGGCCCCTTGCGCTAATACTTTGTAGCGCCACCTTTTGCTGCAATTACAGCTGCAAGTTGCTTGGGGTATGTCTCTATCAGTTTTGCACATCGAGAGACTGGAATTCTTGCCCATTCTTCCTTGCAAAACAGCTGGAGCTCAGTGAGGTTGGATGGAGAGCGTTTGTGAACAGCAGTCTTCAGCTCTTTCCACAGATTCTCGATTGGATTCAGGTCTGGACTTTGACTTGGCCATTCTAACACCTGGATACGTCTATTTGTGAACCATTCCATTGTAGAGGGGCCGAATACTTTCGCAAGGCACTGTAGGTCCTAATATCTCACTCAGACCTGATGTGTGTGTTGTAGGTCCTAATATCTCACTCAGACCTGATGTGTGTGTTGTAGGTCCTAATAACTCACTCAGACCTGATGTGTGTGTTGTAGGTCCTAATAACTCACTCAGACCTGATGTGTGTGTTGTAGGTCCTAATATCTAACTCAGACCTGATGTGTGTGTTGTAGGTCCTAATATTTCACTCAGACCTGATGTGTGTGTTGTAGGTCCTAATAACTCACTCAGACCTGATGTTTGTTAGAGGTCCTAATAACTCACTCAGACCTGATGTGTGTGTTGTAGGTCCTAATATGTGGAATAAAAATCATGCGGGAAAAAAAGTTTCTTGTAACCAAAATATCAACAATGGGCGGCACGGTGGCTGAGTGGATAGCACTCTCGCCTCTCAGCAAGAAGGTCCTGGGTTCGAATCCCGGTAGGACCAGGGCCTTTCTGAGTGGAGTTTGCATGTTCTCCCTGTGTCTGCGTAGGTTTCCTCCGGGTACTCCGGTTTCCCCTACCACTAAAAATAGGTTTAATAGGTCTGGCATGCGCCTCCTGTTCGGCAACCCCGCTCCCATCTCTGTGTGGAGTGAGAGACAAATGCCCAAAATTAACAATTGTAAACCGCTTTGAGACTCAGATCTGCAGTGAAAAGGCGGTATATAAATAAAGATTACTTACTAATTACTTACTCAACAGCTTGTTGTGTTACTGAACACACCCTGCTCCCCCCTATGTGATCCATGGGTCTCTGGGACCTTCAGAAAGGCACGTCCCCATATGTCACAGTGCAGACATAGGTCCTCATTTGTGAAGTAAACATGTATGTGTGTGTGTAACTGTGTGTGTTGGTGTGTGTGTGTCTGTATGTGTGTCTCTGTGTGTGTCTGTCTCTCGTGTGTGTGTGTATGTCTGTCTCTCGTGTGTGTGTGTGTCTCTCTCATGTGTGTGTGTGTGTCTCTCATGTGTGTTTGTGTGTGTGTCTGTCGTGTGTGTGTGTGTCTCTCGTGTGTGTGTGTGTGTGTGTGTGTGTCTCTGTCTCTCCTGTGTGTGTGTTTGTCTGTCTCTCATGTGTGTGCGTCTGTCTCCTGTGTGTGGGTGTGTGTCTCTGTCTCTCATGTGTGTGGGTGTGTCTCTGTCTCTTGTGTGTGTGTATGTTTCTCATGTTTGTGTGTGTGTGTCTCTGTCTCTTGTGTGTGTGTGTATGTTTCTCATGTTTGTGTGTGTCTCTCTGTCTCTCATGTGTTTGTGTGTGTGTCTGTCTCTCATCTGTGTGTGTGTCTCTCATGTGTGTGTGTCTCTCGTGTGTGTGTGTGTTTCTGTCTCGTGTGTGTGTGTGTCTGTCTCTCGTGTGTGTGTGTGTGTCTCTCGTGTGTGTGTGTGTGTGTGTCTCATGTGTGTGGGTGTGTGTCTCTGTCTCTCATGTGTGTGGGTGTGTCTCTGTCTCTCATGTGTGTGGGTGTGTCTCTGTCTCTTGTGTGTGTGTATGTTTCTCATGTTTGTGTGTGTGTGTCTCTGTCTCTCGTGTGTGTGTGTGTGTATGTTTCTCATGTTTGTGTGTGTGTGTCTCTGTCTCTCGTGTGTGTGTGTCTCTGTCTCTCCTGTGTGTGTGTTTGTCTGTCTCTCATGTGTGTGGGTGTGTCTCTGTCTCTTGTGTGTGTATGTTTCTCATGTTTGTGTGTGTGTGTCTCTGTCTCTCCTGTGTGTGTGTTTGTCTGTCTCTCATGTCTGTGTGTCTGTCTCTCATGTGTGTGGGTGTGTCTCTGTCTCTCCTGTGTGTGTGTTTGTCTGTCTCTCATGTCTGTGTGTCTGTCTCATGTTTGTGTGTGTGTGTCTCTGTCTCTCGTGTGTGTGTGTGTGTCTGTCTCTCCTGTGTGTGTGTTTGTCTGTCTCTCATGTGTGTGGGTGTGTCTCTGTCTCTTGTGTGTGTATGTTTCTCATGTTTGTGTGTGTGTGTCTCTGTCTCTCGTGTGTGTGTATATGTTTCTCATGTTTGTGTGTGTGTGTCTCTGTATCTCGTGTGTGTGTGTGTGTGTCTCTGTCTCTCCTGTGTGTGTGTGTGTTTGTCTGTCTCTCATGTCTGTGTGTCTGTCTCTCATGTGTGTGGGTGTGTGTCTCTGTCTCTCCTGTGTGTGTGTTTGTCTGTCTCTCATGTGTGTGCGTCTGTCTCCTGTGTGTGGGTGTGTGTCTCTTGTCTCTCATGTGTGTGGGTGTGTGTCTCTGTCTCTCATGTGTGTGGGTGTGTCTCTGTCTCGTGTGTGTGTATGTTTCTCATGTTTGTGTGTGTGTGTGTCTCTGTCTCTCGTGTGTGTGTGTGTATGTTTCTCATGTTTGTGTGTGTCTCTCTGTCTCACGTGTGTGTGTGTGTCTCTGTCTCTCGTGTGTGTGTGTGTCTCTCATGTGTGTGTGTGTGTCTCTGTCTCTCATGTGTGTGTGTGTGTGTGTGTGTGTCTCTGTCTCTCATGTGTGTGTGTTTGTGCGTCAGGAAAATTTGGAGTGTTGGTCTTCTCTGCTCGGACGTTCGTAGATTGTGATTCTTCTCAACCTCCCCCAAAAATCACCTGTCGCCTGAAGAACCGCTGTCAGCAAGAGACACAGGCCACAGCAGAGGTCCACTACCTCCGAGGTACTTTAGTCTGAATGACACATGTTTAAAGCTCAGGTCTGTAACTTTAGTCTGAATAACACATGTTTAAAGCTCAGGTCTGTAACTTTAGTCTGAATAACACATGTTTAAAGCTCAAAAGACTAAGATGACACATTGTGCGTGTACTGATCCATCAAAATTACGATGACTTTTCTGGCTAGATTTATTTTGTAACTTTGCAAACACCTAAAAGGTTGGTCACTATATGTTAAATTTGACTAAGTAACAATATGTAAATTCAAACAATATAAATGATAGTTTAGAAAAGCACGGGACCATAACGTCTTTGCGCTGCTATGCGTCTACTTCTTACGTCATCTCCAGACTGTTTTCTCTTTAGAGGCCGAAATCACTGTGGGAAATATTATCTAGATAATAATAATATTCGTATTGACACAAGATCATCAGCGAGGCTACCATCGTCAATGTACAATCTACAATTTTATACGGGACACGTTAGAAAGACAAATATATATATATTTGTATTTATTTGAGACAAGCAGTGCTCTTTATGATCAGAACAAAATTATAATCAATGCCTTGCAGTGTGCGCTGTGCAGAATAACACACAGTGTTATCCTGATGAAATAAGAAGGAGATCCTTATTGATATGATGAGGGCCGCTCCTGCCACAGTCGCTCTTCTCCTGCAGGTGTCCGCGGGTGACGAGAGGCCTCACAGTCGCTCTCCTCCTGCAGGTGTCCGCGGGTGACGAGAGGCCTCACAGTCGCTCTCCTCCTGCAGGTGTCCGCGGGTGACGAGAGGCCTCACAGTCGCTCTCCTCCTGCAGGTGTCCGCGGGTGACGAGAGGCCTCACAGTCGCTCTCCTCCTGCAGGTGTCCGCGGGTGACGAGAGGCCTCACAGTCGCTCTCCTCCTGCAGGTGTCCGCGGGTGACGAGAGGCCTCACAGCGCTCTATCTGCACTCTGCCTTGATAGTTCATCTAATTGTTCTATTTTATAACGATATTGTATTCTGCTTTATTGCCTTCTTCTATGTATAAATATAAGAATGTAATTGATGATGATTGAAAAGGCAGAATGGAGCGACAGGCGCACACAGACACCTGCGTATGGCTGGCATTACGCGGGTCATGTGTGTTATTGCTTCTGGACTTGTTCCAACACTGCTGTCCGTGCCGTGAATGCACTATGGGTTTATGTTCAGATTTAGAATATTATAGGTGTTCTCCCCGCTGTCACTTTCCACCTCAAAGTCTGACATCTCACCTCCGTCAGACTGTTCTCATTCAATGTCTTGAAGCACTGTCAGGGCTTCATACCGTGTACTTGCAGCTCTATTCATTTTGTACTCCTCTCAATTCAAAACTCTTTCTCTCTCCCAAATAATAAAAAAACTCAAGTCCCTTTAGAGTCTAATGACAACATATTGATACATTTTTATAAGGCGCGAAAAACCCCCGGGAAAGGTTACTATGACAACAGTCGCCCCTGCGCCATGTATCCCTATGGGGCAGCAGAAAGGGCTGTGGTTTAGAAAAGTTAAAATGCGTGTAAATCTTGTTTTCTTTACTTTTTCCAAAACCAAAACACACCAAAATATAAACAACAAGTACCTAGTAAAAGTCATAAAATTTCAACTTCTGGCGTTTTGTTTTGAATACACTAATTAGCATATTAAAGTGAGTGACGGTCAGTTGACCGCTAGGGGCGCTCCTAGTGTTAAAGCTCAGGTCTGTAACTTTAGTCTGAATAACACATGTTTAAAGCTCATGTCTGTAACTTTAGTCTGAATAACACATGTTTAAAGCTCAGGTCTGTAACTTTAGTCTGAATAACACATGTTTAAAGCTCAGGTCTGTAACTTTAGTCTAAATAACACATGTTTAAAGCTCGGGTCTGTAACTTTAGTCTGAATAACACATGTTTAAAGCTCAGGTCTGTAACTTTAGTCTAAATAACACATGTTTAAAGCTCGGGTCTGTAACTTTAGTCTGAATAACACATGTTTAAAGCTCAGGTCTGTAACTTTAGTCTGAATAACACATGTTTAAAGCTCAGGTCTGTAACTTTAGTCTGAATAACACATGTTTAAAGCTCAGGTCTGTAACTTTAGTCTAAATAACACATGTTTAAAGCTCAGGTCTGTAACTTTAGTCTGAATAACACATGTTTAAAGCTCAGGTCTGTAACTTTAGTCTGAATAACACATGTTTAAAGCTCAGGTCTGTAACTTTAGTCTGAATAACACATGTTTAAAGCTCAGGTCTGTAACTTTAGTCTGAATAACACATGTTTAAAGCTCAGGTCTGTAACTTTAGTCTGAAAACACACGTTTAAAGCTCAGGTCTGTAGATCTTATAACCTCTGTCTCCCCCCGCCCCCTATCTCACTCCCCCACAGACGGAGATCCCTACTGTCGCTCAGACGGGGTGTGGCAGGACACTCCTGTTGGTCAGACGGCTGAGGTCCGCTGCTCCAACGCAGTGGGAATCAGGAAAAGACTCTGCAAGAATCCTGAGTGGGACCTCCTGGAGCAGAACAACTGTGTGGACCAGGGCCTGCAGGATATCCTGGACAACGCCATTGTCAGTGTCCAAGTATCACCTACTTTTGTCCTGCTTTAGTCCTGCTTTAGACCTGCTTTAGTCCTGCTTTAGACCTGCTTTAGTCCTGCTTTAGTCCTGCTTTAGACCTGCTTTAGTCCTGCTTTAGACCTGCTTTAGACCTGCTTTAGACCTGCTTTAGACCTGCTTTAGTCCTGCTTTAGTCCTGCTTTAGACCTGCTTTAGTCCTGCTTTAGTCCTGCTTTAGACCTGCTTTAGTCCTGCTTTAGTCCTGCTTTAGTCCTGCTTTAGACCTGCTTTAGACCTGCTTTAGTCCTGCTTTAGTCCTGCTTTAGTCCTGCTTTAGTCCTGCTTTAGACCTGCTTTAGACCTGCGTTAGACCTGCTTTAGTCCTGCTTTAGTCCTGCTTTAGACCTGCTTTAGTCCTGCTTTAGTCCTGCTTTAGACCTGCTTTAGACCTGCTTTAGACCTGCTTTAGTCCTGCTTTAGACCTGCTTTAGTCCTGCTTTAGACCTGCTTTAGACCTGCTTTAGCCCTGCTTTAGTCCTGCTTTAGTCCTGCTTTAGACCTGCTTTAGACCTGCTTTAGTCCTGCTTTAGACCTGCTTTAGTCCTGCTTCAGACCTGCTCTAGACCTGCTATAGACCTGCTTTAGTCCTGCTTTAGACCTGCTTTAGTCCTGCTTTAGTCTTGCTTTAGTCCTGCTTTAGACCTGCTTTAGTCCTGCTTTAGTCCTGCTTTAGACCTGCTTTAAACCTGCTTTAGACCTGCTTTAGACCTGCTTTAGACCTGCTTTAGACCTGCTTTAGTCCTGCTTTAGACCTGCTTTAGTCCTGCTTTAGTCCTGCTTTAGACCTGCTTTAGTCCTGCTTTAGACCTGCTTTAGACCTGCTTTAGACCTGCTTTAGACCTGCTTTAGACCTGCTTTAGACCTGCTTTAGACCTGCTTTAGACCTGCTTTAGACCTGCTTTAGACCTGCTTTAGACCTGCTTTAGTCCTGCTTTAGACCTGCTTTAGTCCTGCTTTAGTCCTGCTTTAGTCCTGCTTTAGACCTGCTTTAGACCTGCTTTAGTCCTGCTTTAGACCTGCTTTAGACCTGCTTTAGTCCTGCTTTAGACCTGCTTTAGTCCTGCTTTAGTCCTGCTTTAGTCCTGCTTTAGACCTGCTTTAGACCTGCTTTAGTCCTGCTTTAGACCTGCTTTAGTCCTGCTTTAGTCCTGCTTTAGTCCTGACTTTAGACCTGCTTTAGACCTGCTTTAGACCTGCTTTAGACCTGCTTTAGTCCTGCTTTAGACCTGCTTTAGTCCTGCTTTAGACCTGCTTTAGACCTGCTTTAGCCCTGCTTTAGTCCTGCTTTAGTCCTGCTTTAGACCTGCTTTAGACCTGCTTTAGTCCTGCTTTAGACCTGCTTTAGACCTGCTTTAGACCTGCTTTAGACCTGCTTTAGTCCTGCTTTAGTCCTGCTTTAGTCCTGCTTTAGACCTGCTTTAGTCCTGCTTTAGACCTGCTTTAGTCCTGCTTTAGTCCTGCTTTAGACCTGCTTTAGTCCTGCTTTAGACCTGCTTTAGTCCTGCTTTAGTCCTGCTTTAGACCTGCTTTAGTCCTGCTTTAGTCCTGCTTTAGACCTGCTTTAGTCCTGCTTTAGACCTGCTTTAGTCCTGCTTTAGACCTGCTTTAGACCTGCTTTAGACCTGCTTTAGTCCTGCTTTAGACCTGCTTTAGTCCTGCTTTAGACCTGCTTTAGTCCTGCTTTAGTCCTGCTTTAGTCCTGCTTTAGACCTGCTTTAGACCTGCTTTAGTCCTGCTTTAGTCCTGCTTTAGACCTGCTTTAGTCCTGCTTTAGACCTGCTTTAGACCTGCTTTAGTCCTGCTTTAGACCTGCTTTAGACCTGCTTTAGTCCTGCTTTAGTCCTGCTTTAGTCCTGCTTTAGACCTGCTTTAGACCTGCTTTAGACCTGCTTTAGTCCTGCTTTAGACCTGCTTTAGACCTGCTTTAGACCTGCTTTAGACCTGCTTTAGACCTGCTTTAGTCCTGCTTTAGTCCTGCTTTAGACCTGCTTTAGTCCTGCTTTAGACCTGCTTTAGACCTGCTTTAGACCTGCTTTAGTCCTGCTTTAGACCTGCTTTAGACCTGCTTTAGTCCTGCTTTAGTCCTGCTTTAGTCCTGCTTTAGTCCTGCTTTAGACCTGCTTTAGACCTGCTTTAGACCTGCTTTAGTCCTGCTTTAGACCTGCTTTAGACCTGCTTTAGTCCTGCTTTAGTCCTGCTTTAGTCCTGCTTTAGACCTGCTTTAGTCCTGCTTTAGACCTGCTTTAGACCTGCTTTAGTCCTGCTTTAGACCTGCTTTAGACCTGCTTTAGTCCTGCTTTAGACCTGCTTTAGACCTGCTTTAGTCCTGCTTTAGTCCTGCTTTAGACCTGCTTTAGACCTGCTTTAGTCCTGCTTTAGACCTGCTTTAGACCTGCTTTAGTCCTGCTTTAGACCTGCTTTAGTCCTGCTTTAGACCTGCTTTAGTCCTGCTTTAGACCTGCTTTAGACCTGCTTTAGTCCTGCTTTAGACCTGCTTTAGACCTGCTTTAGACCTGCTTTAGACCTGCTTTAGACCTGCTTTAGACCTGCTTTAGACCTGCTTTAGACCTGCTTTGGTCCTGCTTTGGTCCTGCTTTAGACCTGCTTTAGTCCTGCTTTAGACCTGCATTAGTCCTACTTTAGACCTGCTTTAGTCCTGCTTTAGACCTGCTTTAGACCTGCTTTAGACCTGCTTTAGACCTGCTTTAGACCTGCTTTAGACCTGCTTTAGACCTGCTTTAGTCCTGCTTTAGTCCTGCTTTAGACCTGCTTTAGACCTGCTTTAGTCCTGCTTTAGTCCTGCTTTAGTCCTGCTTTAGTCCTGCTTTAGACCTGCTTTAGTCCTGCTTTAGACCTGCTTTAGACCTGCTTTAGACCTGCTTTAGTCCTGCTTTAGTCCTGCTTTAGTCCTGCTTTAGACCTGCTTTAGACCTGCTTTAGACCTGCTTTAGACCTGCTTTAGTCCTGCTTTAGTCCTGCTTTAGACCTGCTTTAGACCTGCTTTAGTCCTGCTTTAGACCTGCTTTAGTCCTGCTTTAGACCTGCTTTAGACCTGCTTTAGTCCTGCTTTAGACCTGCTTTAGTCCTGCTTTAGACCTGCTTTAGACCTGCTTTAGACCTGCTTTAGACCTGCTTTAGTCCTGCTTTAGACCTGCTTTAGTCCTGCTTTAGTCCTGCTTTAGACCTGCTTTAGTCCTGCTTTAGTCCTGCTTTAGACCTGCTTTAGTCCTGCTTTAGACCTGCTTTAGACCTGCTTTAGACCTGCTTTAGTCCTGCTTTAGTCCTGCTTTAGACCTGCTTTAGACCTGCTTTAGTCCTGCTTTAGACCTGCTTTAGACCTGCTTTAGTCCTGCTTTAGTCCTGCTTTAGACCTGCTTTAGACCTGCTTTAGTCCTGCTTTAGTCCTGCTTTAGACCTGCTTTAGACCTGCTTTAGTCCTGCTTTAGACCTGCTTTAGTCCTGCTTTAGACCTGCTTTAGACCTGCTTTAGACCTGCTTTAGTCCTGCTTTAGACCTGCTTTAGACCTGCTTTAGACCTGCTTTAGACCTGCTTTAGACCTGCTTTAGACCTGCTTTAGACCTGCTTTAGTCCTGCTTTAGTCCTGCTTTAGACCTGCTTTAGTCCTGCTTTAGACCTGCTTTAGACCTGCTTTAGTCCTGCTTTAGACCTGCTTTAGACCTGCTTTAGTCCTGCTTTAGACCTGCTTTAGACCTGCTTTAGTCCTGCTTTAGTCCTGCTTTAGACCTGCTTTAGTCCTGCTTTAGACCTGCTTTAGTCCTGCTTTAGACCTGCTTTAGACCTGCTTTAGTCCTGCTTTAGTCCTGCTTTAGTCCTGCTTTAGTCCTGCTTTAGACCTGCTTTAGTCCTGCTTTAGACCTGCTTTAGTCCTGCTTTAGTCCTGCTTTAGACCTGCTTTAGACCTGCTTTAGACCTGCTTTAGTCCTGCTTTAGACCTGCTTTAGACCTGCTTTAGTCCTGCTTTAGTCCTGCTTTAGACCTGCTTTAGTCCTGCTTTAGACCTGCTTTAGACCTGCTTTAGACCTGCTTTAGTCCTGCTTTAGTCCTGCTTTAGACCTGCTTTAGACCTGCTTTAGACCTGCTTTAGACCTGCTTTAGTCCTGCTTTAGTCCTGCTTTAGACCTGCTTTAGACCTGCTTTAGTCCTGCTTTAGTCCTGCTTTAGTCCTGCTTTAGACCTGCTTTAGACCTGCTTTAGTCCTGCTTTAGTCCTGCTTTAGTCCTGCTTTAGTCCTGCTTTAGACCTGCTTTAGACCTGCTTTAGTCCTGCTTTAGTCCTGCTTTAGACCTGCTTTAGACCTGCTTTAGACCTGCTTTAGACCTGCTTTAGTCCTGCTTTAGTCCTGCTTTAGATCTGCTTTAGACCTGCTTTAGACCTGCTTTCGACCTGCTTTAGTCCTGCTTCCGACCTGCTTCCGACCTGCTTTAGTCCTGCTTTAGACCTGCTTTAGTCCTGCTTTAGTCCTGCTTTAGACCTGCTTTAGACCTGCTTTAGTCCTGCTTTAGTCCTGCTTTAGACCTGCTTTAGACCTGCTTTAGACCTGCTTTAGTCCTGCTTTAGACCTGCTTTAGACCTGCTTTAGTCCTGCTTTAGACCTGCTTTAGACCTGCTTTAGTCCTGCTTTAGTCCTGCTTTAGACCTGCTTTAGACCTGCTTTAGACCTGCTTTAGACCTGCTTTAGTCCTGCTTTAGTCCTGCTTTAGACCTGCTTTAGACCTGCTTTAGACCTGCTTTAGACCTGCTTTAGTCCTGCTTCCGACCTGCTTCCGACCTGCTTTAGTCCTGCTTTAGTCCTGCTTTAGACCTGCTTTAGACCTGCTTTAGACCTGCTTTAGACCTGCTTTAGACCTGCTTTAGACCTGCTTTAGTCCTGCTTTAGACCTGCTTTAGTCCTGCTTTAGACCTGCTTTAGACCTGCTTTAGACCTGCTTTAGACCTGCTTTAGACCTGCATTAGTCCTGCATTAGTCCTGCTTTAGACCTGCTTTAGACCTGCTTTAGACCTGCTTTAGACCTGCTTTAGTCCTGCTTTAGACCTGCTTTAGACCTGCTTTAGACCTGCTTTAGACCTGCTTTAGACCTGCTTTAGTCCTGCTTTAGACCTGCTTTGGTTTCATGGTTTCACACTGGTCCAGACCAGTCTCACTCTGGTCTCATACATAAACATGTGACATCACTTGTGTTGCAGACCTGAGGAGGAGTCAGATCATGGACGTCTGTCGGAAAGGATCCAGGAACGCACTGCAGGAACTGTACAACCCTACGATGGTGAGGGACCAGAGGGAGACCAGAGGGAGAGACCAGAGGGAGACCAGAGGGAGAGACCAGAGGGAGACCAGAGAGAGAGACCAGAGAGAGAGACCAGAGAGAGACCAGAGAGAGACCAGAGAGAGACCAGAGAGAGACCAGAGGGAGACCAGAGAGAGAGACCAGAGAGAGAGACCAGAGGGAGACCAGAGGGAGAGACCAGAGGGAGACCAGAGAGAGAGACCAGAGAGAGAGACCAGAGAGAGAGACCAGAGGGAGACCAGAGGGAGAGACCAGAGGGAGACCAGAGAGAGAGACCAGAGAGAGAGACCAGAGAGAGACCAGAGAGAGACCAGAGAGAGACCAGAGAGAGACCAGAGAGAGAGACCAGAAGGAGAGACCAGAGAGAGACCAGAGAGAGAGACCAGAGAGAGAGACCAGAGAGAGAGACCAGAGAGAGAGACCAGAAGGAGAGACCAGAGAGAGACCAGAGAGAGAGACCAGAGAGAGAGACCAGAGAGAGAGACCAGAGAGAGACCAGAGAGAGAGACCAGAGAGAGAGACCAGAGAGAGAGACCAGAAGGAGAGACCAGAGAGAGACCAGAGAGAGAGACCAGAAGGAGAGACCAGAGAGAGACCAGAGAGAGAGACCAGAGAGAGACCAGAGAGAGACCAGAGAGAGACCAGAGAGAGAGACCAGAAGGAGAGACCAGAGAGAGACCAGAGAGAGAGACCAGAGAGAGACCAGAAGGAGAGACCAGAGAGAGACCAGAGAGAGAGACCAGAAGGAGAGACCAGAGAGAGACCAGAGAGAGAGACCAGAGAGAGAGACCAGAGAGAGACCAGAGAGAGACCAGAGAGAGACCAGAGAGAGAGACCAGAAGGAGAGACCAGAGAGAGACCAGAGAGAGAGACCAGAGAGAGACCAGAAGGAGAGACCAGAGAGAGACCAGAGAGAGAGACCAGAGAGAGAGACCAGAGAGAGAGACCAGAGAGAGACCAGAAGGAGAGACCAGAGAGAGACCAGAGAGAGAGACCAGAGAGAGAGACCAGAAGGAGAGACCAGAGAGAGACCAGAGAGAGAGACCAGAGAGAGAGACCAGAGAGAGAGACCAGAGAGAGACCAGAGAGAGACCAGAGAGAGACCAGAGAGAGAGACCAGAGAGAGAGACCAGAGAGAGAGAATGTCTGCTCGCTCAAACAGGACTAGAGTGAGTCAAGAGTTTTTGTGCCAGATTCTATTTTAACTTTAAAGGTGCTGTACCTGTTTCTGCAGTTTGAGTGTTTAGCCCCGCCCCCAACTCTCTCACAGACTTCTCATTTCCTCTACGCTCTCATTACACACAGCCATCTAGCTCAATTTGCGATCTGACATGTATGCTAACATTAGCATTAGCGCAACTTCTTGTAAGCTGTACAACAATCACTGATGAGATAAGATAAGATGTGCTTTATTTATCTCACAGGAGAAATGTACATGTCACATTTGGCATGGAGAGAACACTCATCCATCCATCCATGTTCTACCCTTTAATCCATTTCTGGGTCAGGGGGGTGGCAGTCAGAGATGCCACCCAAGTCTCATAGCACCAGCCCCTCACTGATCCTCTGCAGGTGGTGAGTCCACAGGAGGCTGCTCTCTGACTGTGAGCATAGCCTTGATCTTTCAGTGGGGGCTTTGGGGGACTTCAGTGGGGGCAGATTGTGCAAAAGGAGGAAATGTGCAAACATGTTACATGCAGGACATATATGTACAATAAAGTGACAAGTGTCAATTGGAAACTGTCAATTTTCACACCACCTCTGTATATAGTCAATTAGGAGTTCTTTTACTGATGGCTCTCTTCTTTATTATAGCTTGTACACGATATTTCAAGTGTAACATGAAACATGTACCCATACTTCAGAGGCAGAGTTATGACCTTGTCTTATATAACACTTATTTCACCTTGGAGAGACCCATGAGGGAAAATGCAGTTAGAAGTTTAGGATTGAGTATGTTTGGCGCCCTAGGCCCGGGAGAGATGCTGTTGAGCGCGGCGCTTGATCGCGCGCATAATCCCCCAAAAGCGGGCCTGCGATGGGATAGCAGGACGCACTGCGCAGGCCTGAGAGCATGAGTGCGAGGCTTCTCGCACGGTCGCTCAGCCGGGCTGCGTCCGCTGGGCATCTTTGAGCGCTGGGAACGTGAGCGCTCGCATCACGTTCCGTCAGACGCTGCGGCAGCGGAGAGCGTTTGAGAAAAGTGCGTGCCGCCACCAGAATCTTATTGCTTCGCTTACTTTGCTTCGTATTGCTTTGCTGGGAGCTTACGAAGAAGCCAGTAGACGTTGTGCAGCCAGGATAGCGGACGCGTCTGGCCTGATGTAGGCGGAGAAGGCCGAAGAGGACCAGCGCCCCAGCTGTTGCAGAGAGGTGTGGGGGAGCCCCAGCGAGGCCGCGCGCGTGGCAGCGCCTATCCTGAAGGAGTGAGCTGTGTAGAGCTGGGGAGACAAATTACAGAGGAGCAGTAGGGATCTTAGCTGAGCTCTGAACCAGGTTGCTATCATGGGAAGAATGTCTGGAGTGAGAAATAGAGGTCCGTTAAAATCTCCTTTTTGCAGCGGAGGCGAGTGTAACGCATCATGGACCTGTAGGGGCAGAGAGATGTGTCCGAGCGAGCTATTATTGTGTTGCAGGCGCCTTTGAGATGGAGGTTGAAATGGTCAGGGGACATTATGTTGGGTGAACAAGAGCGACCTTTGTTTAATGCTTCCACTACATCGAGATTATCACACGTGACAGAGATCCTCTTTCTCTGCCACGTGTGATTCCACAGCGCGCAGGCCACGACCACTGGGAATATCTCGTGTAGGGCAGAGGAGATGCTCCGGTGGAAGTAGCGGCCACGGCCCGGCAACCCAATGGTCCTGGAAGAATCCCCCAAAACCCACGGAAGGGGCAGTGTCCGTGTAGAAGCGGAGACCTGTAGGGGCAGAGACATGTCGGAGAGGGCCATTGATGTTGCAGGCGCCCTTACGCTTAGAATCTTGGGTTGGAGAGTAGATAATCAGGATAGTAGGATGGTCGGGAAAGCCGTGTCTCGGACCGCATGAAGGTTGAGTGAGCAGTAGTGAACGCTTACGCAGAGAAGCCATAGAAGGCGAGCAGGAAGATGCTGCGAGGAGGGCAGACATGTACTTGGAAGATGAGCCGGAGTTCAGTGCCGCTGCAGGAATGGGCAGCATGATGGGGAGCCTGCGATCAGAAGAGTGAAGAATACAGGTATGGATGCCTTTGATTAGGAGTCCGATTGACGGCTCAGCGCAGCTACTCGGCCAGCTGCATCTGATAGAATCAGAAGATTCAGTAGAGAGATGAAGCATGACCGCCGAAGCGACCCTGGGAGCATAGGTGCGAGTCCAGCGCAGCGCGGCATACTCAGCCGGGCTGCATCCATTAGAAGCAGGATAAGCTTCTGAGAGAGTGGGTTGCAGCAGTAGCAGTAGCAGTAGCAGCAGCAGCAGCATCCGTAGATAATAACAGCAATAATCCTGTATCAAAGCCACAGCAGTAGAATATTGTTGTAGCTGTTTAGTGTTTCAGTAAAAGAGATGCGAAGTGAAGAGAGATGTCAAAGTAAATGAAGCAGCAGCAGCACGGCAGCAGATGCAGTATGAAGCAGCAGCGGCAGCAGTAGCAGCAGTAGCGGTAGCAGTAGCAGCAGTAGCGGTAGCAGTATGAAGCAGTAGCGGTAGCAGTATGAAGCAGCAGAAGCAGCACCACAATGCGATTCATACAAACAAACAGACGTGTCACGCCAGCGTGCGCCGCTTGTCTCCGTGAGCCAGGTTACATACGTGTCTGAAAGAGCCGAGCCGTAGAGACAGGTGCAGCCTGGGAGCCTGCGGAGCGGCAGCAGGAACAGCAGCAGCGGCACATGTAGTAGTAGGAGCAGCAGGAGCAGCAGGAGCAGCAGCAGGAGCGGCAGGAGCAGCAGCAGGAGCAGGAACAGGCATCAGCAGGAACAGCAGCAGCACATGTAGTAGGAGGAGCAGCAGGGACAGGCAGCAGCAGGAGCAGCAGCAGGGACCGCAGCAGCGGCGGTCAGAGAACCATGCCCATGGTTGTTTAACAGCCTCAGGAAATAAATCAACCCGAATCCGAAACATTCCCATGCAAAAAACAGATGTCCCCTGGAGCCATCTTCTGCTTTGGTTATGGCAGATACGCATGAACCATCACTTCACGCGTTCATAGCTCCAACACCACTTCAAACCCATTGCAGATTCACATTGGGCCCTTTTTCTTTCTGCTGCACTTTCAAATGCAACAACTGCAGTTTAGTTACCCAGTTTAATACTAGTGACCTAGCTATTTAAATGCATGGCCCCTCCTTCCTCCTGCAGATAGACGAATTTAAATACATTCATTTAACAATAGTGACTTGCGAGTAATGAGATTAATGCTGTAAAGATGGCGCCGTGGCAAGAGCTCTGTGTGTACAGTCTGGAGCACGATGGGGTAGTCTTTCACATTTTTTCCAACGTGGTTTTACTGCAAGTGGCAGAACATGAATCTGAATTAATGCACATTGCTCCTCTTATATCCCTCAGACATTGGAGATTGATGCCATTTAAGATGCATTGCCCCTCAGTTAGCTCAAACACGTGTGAAACGGAGCCTGCAGACCAAGCACGGGCGAAGACTGACGCCTGCAGTCAAGTGCGTAGGGCAAAAACCAGCCGCCTGCAGCGCAGACTCTGGGATTAATCTGTCCGCGGTCGGCACACTGACTGTACTCACATGTCAGGAGACTTGGGAAGAGCAACGGGACAACGCGGCACCGCCAGACCGTCTGCGCGCGGCAGCAGACCACGAGGAACGAGCAGCACAGAAACCGCGGAGGGCCCCGCGGAGCAGCCCGCAGAAAGAGCCCGCAGAAAGAGCCCGCAGAAAGAGCCCGCAGAGGAGGAGAGCAGACCACAAGCAGCCAGACTGAGGACAGCCGGGCCACGCGCACAAGCAACACGTGAGCAAAG